TTAAAGTCCGTTTTTCGTTGAATTTTTTATCCTGCACAGAATGCACAGGAAGAAGACAGATTAGAATGCATTGTTTGTGTATTATATTGAGTAGACATATTCATTTTGAAAATTTACTTTTAATCATTTTTATGCGGTCTAATGGAACATATATCTTGTTAATTGAAGTCTTGAAATATACAAGTATTTTTATTTACTCTTTTCGTTAAAGATTTTATCAGTGTTAAGGTAATTTTGTTAAGTATCGCTAAGCATGTTAGAAAGTGTTTTAGCTATAACAATTGTTTCAAACATATAGAGTTTTGTCACAATCTAGGGAACCGGTTACGGTAAAAAATTCAGAACAAAATAAAAATTAATATACGTTAAGTTTTAATATTGTATTTGAACTATAATCAAAGTATTTGGGAACGGATAAAGCACAAATGAATTTATTATAAAATATTACATTATTTACGGTTTCCATAAAGAATTGTACGATTAAATTTTCAATTTTTCTGTAATATTATATCAGCACTTATTAATTCAATGACATTTAGTATATTGCAAAGGGGGCTGTATTATTTAAATACCATCACAAAATTTTGCGTGAAATTGATATCACAGTATAATTTAGAAATTCGAATTGCTTCTGTTAACTAAACGCGTATATTTTCAACGATTTATGTTTTAAAAGACGGAATAATATGTGTCTGACCACGTACGGCATTTTTCACTGTGGCATTCAATGTGTTAATATAATATCTTTTACTATGGAACCCCATTAAGATTAATTATTTCGAGCAATCGTTTCGTATTTGAACGTGTACCCAGCTTTAGTGAAAACATGTTTTTTAATTAATGTTTTCAACATGCCATTGTTTTAATAGAATATTAACTGCGATCGATTGGTTTTCTCTATTTTTACGATACAAGCAGCAAAATGTCAAATATAACAATGGTAATGCATGCGTAGTAATTTACTGCGTTTTCATTGTTGCCAACAACTTCAATCTGACGAAACACACGAATCGTGTTAAAGTAATTGATGGTATCAATGTATTAATAACCGTTAATGTAATCCTGGCTTGGAGCACGGTATAAAAGAGAGAATTCGCATTTCCGGATAGTTAGAATTTGGAGTTAACACCGAGATACATGTTAACGACATGATTCCCGCGGTGGTAGGAATCTTACAACGAAAAAAGTATGCAGAATAACGGACAAAACATTCGCGTAATGATATTCTTGATAATATTCAGCGTACAGGCATTTTTGACACCACTGTTTTTTTTCATATTAGCGTACTTCTACAGATACTGGGATCATTGCAGATCTTATACGGTATTAGTCCAGTGAGCAACGGAATTAAACGATAGATGCAATTTTCTTGAAATTGTTCATAGAAATAATATATAATAAAAGTATAAACACCAACGTGATATAACGTTATATGAACATGATCATATAACAATGATTTACTCTAATGCGCTGCTGTCGTAACCCTCGTTAATTAAATTGAAAGAATAATTTTCATAAATCCAGGTTTTTACAGTAAATATTCACTTAATTATTTGAATGCACTTTTTCCTGTAATATCACTTCCCTTTTTTGGTTACACCACTTACCGTATACTGCTCAGGATGAAAGGTTCTTGCCGTACGTCAAAAATGAAAGTGGAAAATACGAAGAGGGAGCCTAAAGAGAAAGAGAACCAGAGAGAAGAGAAAAACGACAGAAAGAGAAAAATTGGACAGCCGGTGAAGTGCGTAACGGTGCGTCGCTCAATATTTCTGGCGAGACGATCTTCCGCGGCTTTTTACGTATCCTCCCTCTTTTTTGCTAGAGTCCATTTCTGCTTCTCGATATCCCTCGATATACGGGTTTGCACGCTCGTGGCCGAGCACATAAGTTACATTTCTGGCTGTGCACGTAGTGTAGGTGACGGTATACAATTTTTCTCCGACCAGCAACAGCAGCTACTTTCTAGCCTCTGGGTGCCTATATGTTCAGCTACTCGCACGAGTTTATAACAGCGTGAAGTGTATCAGCGTTCGCGATGAAACCGCGAAAGTAAGATAACCAGAGTGGCGTACGATAATTCAAACGACTCTTTATTTTCTTGGGGTACGTGAAAGGTCGGATGCTCTCCATCCCTGGTTCTGCATTCTCGACCGAAAGAAGTAATTCTATATTCGTACTCTCGGTTCGACTTGTCCTATTAAAGGCGCGATCTCGCGACGTTTTAGCGACGCTCGCTAGCGACACCAGTCCTCGAAATCGCTGTAAATGAGGATGGAGGGATGTTTTATACATTCCAGACAGAACGACGCGATACGGACGAACGACACGGCGGCGGTAACGAATGATGTCTCCGTAATATTTCAACGGGTGTTCCCGGGCTGCCTTTTGCTCCGCCACGTCGTCGTCCCCCTTTTTCTGCTAGACACTTCCGGGGTCAAGATTCACGAGACACGAAAAAGGAAGAGGCGGAAAGAGGGATAAAGAAAGGCGACAAAGGCCGGGGCAAAAGAACGGGCCAGGAAAAGATAAATTGGGATCACGGATGCGTTTTCGTAAAGGCACTCGCTGCTGACCTGTTCACGGATCCCCTGTTAATGAATACATACGCGTGTGTGTGTAAGGAAACTGTTCGTCGTGAGTTTAAAGGATTTATGCTTATTCTCGAAATTGTACCACGCCGACGGAACGAAGACTTTTAAAATAAAGAAGATTGAAAGTCCAAGATGATACGTCATTGTGGGGAATTTTGCTACCGGAAGTCTTATTGCTTGAGGACGACTTTTAGAGAACGTTAATTTGGACGAATGTATTTCTTCGGTAAAAGACGATATATGTATTGGAAAATTTTCCGTATAAATATACATAAAAAAAAACGCGAGTGAGGAATCATCGATATGCGTGTTTCCCAGGAAAAAGGATTATGTGTTTTACAATTCCGTGATCCTACAAATATCTGTCGGTTCGGAAATAAAAACTCGGAACTCCTATGAAAGTCTAAAACATACATGTATTTAAAATTGCGGTTTCCTCTGAATACTTCCGATCAACCACAAATAAACTAAAAAAACGAATACATGTTCTCGCTATCCTAAAACCGTTCAGCGCGTCCGATCACGAATTCACGAGAATAATCCTCAAAAAGCCCTCGCGTCGTTTCGTTCGTTAAGAAGCGAAATCAATTTCGACCCCTGGTCGGGATGGACGACAAAATGGTGTTCGCATCATTACTCAGCAGTCGTCCATACGGGGGTCGATTTTACCCTGCAAAAAAAAAAACCAGAAGAAGATAACCCGCGTGTGAAGTTAAATCGCCCTTCCCGAAAAAGCCCGTGGAATGGATTTCAATCGTGGCGACGCGGCGTGCGCCACGCTAGGATATCATGCACGGTTAGTTTATTCGCCTATAAATTTCACGGGCCGTAAATCGCGAATAAACGTAATCGTCGAACAGACGACGACGGAGATACAGGTTCGCGTTGGAGCCCCCGTTATTCATCCGTGCTCTTAGATTTCCTAACTGTCTCGCCCGGGGGCGGCCGTGAATGTCCACCCGCGAAGAGTCCCAGTGCTACCAGGAGTAGGGCTTGGTAGGGGACTCGGTGAATCCTGTTGTCCGAACGCCTTCGAGCGGAGAGGTCAGCATATGTTGTATTACGCAGTTCGACACTCTGGCGCCTATGGAACAGGTCGTGTGGCGACGACGACGCGCGAGAGACGAGCAAGAGATGTGCGCGGTTCGAGGATATCGAAACGTACATACTCGGACACATATACATACATAGTATGTTTGCGGTCTACCACCTGGCGTTCAAACGGGCTGCTGCTGGTCCCCGACATAGGACAGAAACACCACTGTACACAGACGGTGGAAATGTATAAGGTGGGGGCCAAGAGGAAGAGACCACCACGGACTCGACAATGGCTCTAATGCGACTGAATGATGATACGTAACAAACCTTATTCAACAAAAAGTTTCGGTCGGCAAATTGAATCTAGAGGGCTTGGACTCTATTTTTCCCCCTCTCTCTCTCTCTCTAGTTCTCGTCGTCTGGACTGTCTTCGTCTCACACCGGAAAGGAGGTGTGGAATAAGATCGCGGTGGCCCGTTGATCGTGTGCGTGCTGCGGGGGCGAGTGAGGATCGGTCGCGGGGGGGAGGAGTAACGAGAGAGAAACGGTTTTCGGGAGAGAAAGAGTGATCCGATCTTTCGGATAGTTCGGGCGAAGACCGTTGGTGGGGGCGCGCCAGAGGGCGGTCTGCGCATGCGCGACTCGCGGCGGAACAGCTTCGCGCGGCGACGCTCAGTCTCGTCTGTCGCAATCCAGTGCAGATATACGTGCAATTATCCTGTCAACAGTGCTTAAAATCTCTTCTGGTGCTCGTTCCTCAGAGGACACGGTGTTCGTGAACGATAACACGTTCCGGTGGCGACCGATAACCGAGATCGATTGTGTCTTCTATTCGTGACGGTTTTTCGCGCTCCTCGAGCACACGGGGGGACCGATCCGAAAAGAAATCGCGTGTCGCCGCGCGGCCACGTGAAGGGAAAAATTTGAACGTTGGTGTCTCTCTCCCTCTCTCTCTCTCTCTTCTTCGGTTGCGGGCGGGTGTTCACGAGGAATTCGAATCGCCCCGCGGTCGCCACCCTCCGCCAGCTAGCCAGAGGCAGCGATCAGTCGGTACCGTGCGCTCTACGGGGAGAGTGGTTTGACGTTTCTCGCGTACGGTGTAACATACCGGTGTGGTGACATTTCCGATCGAGAGAAAATAAAAACGGATTAGTGTATTCGATCGTGTGATAGCGTGGGCGACGAGACAATGATCGTCTCGTGAGGATCGATGAGAATCGATTGCATCGATGTGTCATCGACGATCTCCGATCAGTTGTCGCCACAATTAGCAACGGGACGTAGTGGTGTGATATTATTGGTGTGAACGAACGGAACCAGTGACCGAAGAGGAAAACAGAGGGCCACGGTTTTCCGGGAGTAGTCGAGATGTCTCGCCACCTGTGGCTAAGGGCAGCGTTTACTTTACTCGCGATATCAGGTAAGCTGTCCTCGAACAAGTCATACCCGCGTGTTCCGTGATCGGTCCTGTTCTGAGAGTGACATCGTGGAACGTGCGAACGACATAGGTTGCTAGTTGACGCGTGTGTGAGACATCTAGGAAGCGAGTATATAATCAGTGGTAAATGTGGCAAAATGACAGGATCACCGGGGCCCCCACGTCGCGTGTCGGATGAGATACTGCGCTGCTAAACGCTCTGTCGTTTAGTATTTTCTTGGTTTTTTTACCTTTTTTGCATCATCTAGTCGCGTTGTCCGCGGCACCTCGCCAAGAAGTCGTGTGACACGCTCCTTTTCCGACACGGAGTCGGTCAGCTGGTGGCCCGAAAAAAGAAAAACGGTCGCGCTAGTAACACAGGGGATAAAGTGGCGGATAAGTGTGTCCCGTGCTGTGTTTCTCTTCTCGGCTGTTTACTTGTGCTGTCGCGCGCGCGCGCGCGAATCCTTTTTTCATCGTTAGGCTTCAAGCGTGAAACGGGAGACAAAGGAATGCACGAGGCTCGCGAGGCTCGAGCTAAGCAAAGAAATATTCTTGTCCTCCGCAAACCGAGCGAGCAAAAGAGTTACGGGCGTACAAACGTCGAGGAGCAGCCTGCTTTGTTCCGTTTGTTGTCCGTTGCGACTGTAACCGTCATCGCGGTTCTGTCGCCCAGGAGAGACTCACGGGCGTGCTTTACAAGGTGATTTCAATTGACGGGAGTATATGGGTTGCTGGGTTGGATACGGACGGGGATCGAAAGACGTTGGACTTAATAGAGATTCAATTTGTATTGACTTTTGGAGCATAACGGTAAAATGAGGTAGGAATGTAGTCATCCGTTTAAAGTCTATCGTTTATTATACCAGGAAGTGTATCGTCTTCTGTCGGGCTTTGATTCTTCACACGTACTGTGAGAGTTCACCTGTAAATGGTCATTAGATTTTGTGGTCTTTCAAGATCTGGTTCCAATTTCCAAAACCTAAACATTCCATTTCTTTTTCACCGTCTTTACATCTAGTTCCAATTCTGGAGCACGGTAGCACTATACGAACAGTGGAACTCACTGCTCTGTGATTGGTGATATAATACTATACCATAAAGTATATCTCTGGCTGGTATATTTTGTGGTTAATTCCTGGTGTCAATTGTTTCAATTTGTTTCAAATTTTCAATTAATAGCTTAATATCCCATTAGAATAGCTTATCTATGTGCAACTATTGATACAATACGTCGAAAGTTAAGCTAATCATGACTGAAGTTCATACAATAATGTAATGTATGTGCTGCCATTCCTTTGCATTCGCACGAAATGTTATATGACAGTGGCACGTAACAAGCGTAATTTATCTAACCAATAGTTACGTTAATATGTCAAATATCTTTCATATACAGTAATGATATTATCCAGAAATTGGCATTAAGCGTATAATACCTAAACACTCGTCCTAAATTTCGGAGGTACAGTATTATTGCAGTCTACATACAGTCATTCATACGTATCACCCTAAATAAGAAACAAACAGATCACTTTCATTCGCCTAACAAGGTTACTCTTTTACACGGAATCTTACTACCCCCGTCCCCTAGACATTAATATTACCCTCGCGAGACGAAATCGTTTGATGATACTGTAGAAGCAATTCCAACCGCCGGGTAATAATCTTGAAATTGCCAAAGGAAATTCCTGCGTATCGGTACGGGCCGGGGGGGGGGGGGACTGTTGGAGTTCAGTGCAATCAGAATTCTTCGGAAATGCAAATCGATTTCATTTCTCTTTGCAACGATCTACGCGTAACGGTGCTCTTTGTCCCTGGTCCGATATCGGGCCACGCTCAGCTCCCTCGTAGAAGCGAAATATCTCGTCGAGACACCAGACACGGATTCTAACGAGTTTCTCGGTAATTAAGAAGCTATTGCATCGCGCTTATTCCTGTTCCCCTGCCAAGCGGTGTTCGACGAACGATCCCCTGCGTTAGGTTCAGCTCGTTTGCCTGCCGGCTGAACAGGGATTGGAGGACGGGGGACAGGCGGAAATTTAAATCGCGGGCAAGAAACGTCGTTTCCTTGCGGGATTCCCCGTTTTCCCGCGCCTCCTGTTCGTTCTAGTCCCCTCCTCCCAATCCTCATTCTAACCCCTCTGGGTCCTTGATTGCTCTCACGAAACTCCCGTTGTCGCGCTCCCCGAGCAAACTCATTTGATTTGGCGGCCGCTTTTTCGACGATTTCCAGGCAGTGTGTTGTGTATCCGTTGTCGTGACTCGGGCGGGAGGAAGGGGCGCTGGTGGGGGCGTACAAGGAACGACCGAAAGCCCCGGGTCGAGGCTTTTCACGGTGTACGGATACTCCAAGCCCAGGGATTCCGCGCTCTCAAGCTGTACATTGTTAAGACCGGATACTTGACTAAGCTACAGAGAGTCACTTTTGACTACCTCGGTCGAGTGTAATCTCCGCGGTTGACTTGTGCACGGAGGACCGAGAGGGAACGATTTACGACGCATTAACGGGTCTTGGGTTTCCACTCTGGCAAACTTTGCTGAGTGACTTAACTGAAGCGTACGCGTAATATACAATGGGAACCCTTTCTCTCTCCCTCTCTCTCCTTGTTCTTCGCTGTTTACTGTCGACGTTGCTTGGAACTTTCCGATGCATGTATTGGGAGCGAACTGGTTATCGGGATCAATGATAATCGGGAAGGCTTGTTCGAGTCGGTGAGAGAATGCCAGGTGGTTGGTCTTCGGATCGAAAGAGATTCTATGGTCCCTCGGATCCCGTGGCAGGAGTCACTCTGGAACTACTTGTGCAACGGTTGATACGCTTATTCTACTAATTGCGTCGAGAATTAGGTATTACGAACGTTAACTGGCACCGGACTAGGGAAAATTTTTTTTGAAATGAAAATAAGAAATATTTCAAATCATTTATTTGGAAACTTTACTTGAAATAAAAATATTATCGATTCATTTGAAATAATAGTAATTTTAAATAATGAATTCCTGATTTGAAATATTTTTGTATTTCACATTTGGCAAAAGAAATAATACTCAAAATAATATGCAACGAAAAGGTTTTAGTTGAAGAAATCTTTACAGCAATTTGCTTTAAGCAAAACTCGCTCTTCGTGAAACTAATCCGTGATAGATTTCTGCTTGGGTCCATCTAATATTGTCGCGGAAGAAAATAATCGTTGGACTGGTTTAAAAAATATGCTGTTTCAATTTTAGTTTGGCATTACATTAAATCTCCGATGAGTGTTCGAAGGCTCCTCCGCACTGAACAATAAATATTTCATAAACTGATAGCCATATGCGACTCAAACAAATATTATTGACTTCAGAATTCTAAGCTCTATCACCGTGATAAACATCATTACATAAAAGATCATCGTTACACATGGGGACCTCTTCTTGCCAATGCAGAGGAGTCTTCGAACACTCGTCGAACATTTACTGTAATCGGTAGGAAACATTCTACCGAAAAGTTCGTAGTCGTGTTGCAAAATTATAATCTGTTTGAGGTAGTCAACTTTTTAATGTGATGAATTCATATGCGAGTTTCGAAAAATTGGTCACCACCCGGTGTGAATCCATTTACGTGCCGCATACAATAATTCGATTCGCGCTACGAACTCGTATTACGAAAAATTATCAAATTAAAAAATTAGAGAACCTTAATAAAAAAATTGTGCAACCTCAGCGCACGTCTCACCGCAATGAAAGGGCTTTCATAAATCGGCTCTGAAAGGGTATAATATTTCGAGCGATGGGTAGTATAATATTACGATAAGTCGTAACGATAGCAGTTTATTTGAGTATTCTGTCGAATCTGTTTCTATAAATTCGTTTATTATTATCTACCACTCTGCTTACAGTACTTCAAGGATCTTATTTCTGTTACGAACTTTATTTCCTTTCCATGCTCGTTCTCAATAACCCCAAGCAAATTCAATATTATTCAAGCTGTAACTTCCAGGTGATCAAGTTGTAACTGCTAACCTGTTTTCCGTTAATCGGTGATTTAAATAATCTTTTCCTACTCATGATTTGTGTTTCGAGTCATTGTTCTGTCGTGAAATGAAATTGTCGCCGATTTATCTTTGTTTAGTTACGGACAAGTAGTCCAAGACTTGCACTCCACTGTATGTACTGATTCTATGAAGCTTCATTCTTCTCGAAGCCAATTATTGAACATTTTTTTTAGCTGTGCAAATTTATTACCATGTTTCGAATAAATGACTCTCGTTGATATACTTCTGGCCGTAACTTTTTCACATGGCTATATCAATTGTAGCGCGCTACTGAAATTTAAACGGGGTACGTTCATAAAAATATGCATAATTATTATTATCAGACAAGGTAATTATATTACCGCTATACATAATCCGTTTGTTTCTGCTTCCGAGTACGTCGACCGTAATTATTTTTCTTTCTCTGTGGCATAACACCCGTCGCGGCGTGTTCTTTTCTTCGACAAGCGTTGTTTACGCACAGATGCACGCGAAAAAATGTTTCTGTTCCTTTGATGTACCTAACTCATTCCCCGTTATTGTTTACAGTCAGCGTATTTCTGAAGATTGTTTGTCCCCCACAGACGGAGTAATTTATTCTTGTAATTATCGTGCCGTCTAACGCACATATTTTATTGTGCCACGCATAATCCCGTGGAGGGAAAGAATTTATTTTTCTTTTTTGAACGTGAATAGATGTAAATGATGTTGAGTAATAACCAGTCTTTTTTTCGCTTTGACAAACGTAAAGCTATTATTGTTTGAAGAGGCCATAAGTCTGCGCTCTTCGCGTCGTTAATAATCCGTCTATTTTCTCAGTGTGATATTTTGTTTAGAATGCTGTCCACTTTTTCTCAAGTTTTTTTTGTAAGTGGAACAATGATACGGAAAGTGATTCTAAACCGGTTTTAGAAAATTTGCAGACTGATGGTACACCTGAACATTAATAAAGGAAGTTCGTACGAACGTCCCACGTGAAATCATTTATCTTCGACG